GGTGTGGTTGGTCCTGACAAAATGCAGATTGATTCAAGATGTCAATGAAGTCCATGGAAAATGTAACTGTCTAGAATACAGATTTTTCTTTCATTTGCACATAGTATTATTATCAGATCTAAAACAGGCTTGAAACAAATAATGCACAGTTCTTAGTGTGTGTTGCAGCACTCTAAAATATGATAGCAACCACCTTAAATATTGCTCCTCCTGCCATGCATAAGGGCTTACTCTGAATATAACATAATTATTTAAAGCTGAACTGCAGCCTTTCCTCCCATTTTACACAGTTGTACGGGCTCCACTCCTGTACTGAGATCATTTTACTCCTGTAAACTTCATTGTGCATTAGAAGCCGCAACAAGTCATAAAGAACTAGACTAATTTCCTGGCTGGAGGATATCATCTAGCATTTTCCTCCACAGCCTTATTGTCCCTGGCCTACCCCTTTTATCCATTGGATTTTAGTTCTTTCAATTATAGAGGTTCAGCATCACATCTGGACATTACTAAAGCTTCCAATTTTTAGGAAGATATGTAGTATAGCACCCTGCTGCCCCCAAAAGGCCATAATCTGCCTGCAATACAGAAGCAAAGAGACCTGATGATGAAGTCACTGGATCTAAAAAGGTATGAAATTAAAACATAAAGGTTTTATGTATTAAGTTCCATAGCATAATGATGAAGAGGAAAGGTGGAACCAGGGAAGGCAAATTACTAGCAGATTAAACTTCAGCTTTAGGCTAGGTTCACATATCGGCGATCCCGGGTCGGACATCGCGGGACCACGCATGATTGCACAAAGCGATTGCCGCGTGGCCCCATTGATTTCAATGGGGTTATATCCACGCGGCAATCACTGAAAAAAGGAACATGTACCTTTTTTTGCAACATGCAATCTGCCTAATGCGGCTGGTGTGCCATTAGAAAATAATTGGCACCACTACCTTGATTGGCGTGCGCCTCCATGACCGCGTGGCCATGTGCACGATTGCTGCACAGTCATGGATCGCCCTAGTGTGAACCTGGCCTTAGGTGTGACTAATACTATATCAATGTTAAATTTAAGAATTTATGCCTATAGGCAATCTAATGATACAGGAAGGTCATTAAGCCATCTTTGAAAAAACTAATTTTGGGTTGCAATCAAGTCCTCTACACCGCTCATCACACCAACAACAATATCAGACCCCACCTGTAGATGGCTTTACTTTCCTATGGAACTGTGTATACTTTTAAGGATGAAACTGCTTTAAATGCTGCATATGGCCTCCATTCTGTTTCAGGTTTATATACACAAGCATTGTGTTCATTAAGGGTTTATTTATTTTTCTCCATTGTAAGGTAAGTAATCCATTAGCTGCACATTGGGATATAATAATCGGTTAAAGTGTAACTGCTTTTTTAATGACTTTTTAATGTAGGTACACTTATACGGTGGTCCTACCACGCCAAGCCTTCCCTACCAGTCTTATACTCACCGGTCTCCAATCTAGTGGAATATAGCCCGATAATGGGCTCATTCTCAATAGGAATATGTTAGAGTGAAGAGCACATGTATCTAAACATTTTGGAAAGCTGGGATGTGGCCTCGTGAACGATATCTCTCTGGATCTGGGACAGATAAGTATAAGACTGATCGGCAGTGCTGAGAGTGAGGACTACAATAGGGTATCCTTCAGTATAACATGCTGCTCAGGTTAGTCAATATGGCAGGGGTGCCCACAATTTTTTGTGTTAAGATCTACTTTTCAAATGACGAGCTACGTGAGATCTACCAAGGGAAAAAAAACCTCCCTCGCTCTCTTCCTCCTGGCTGTCTCTCCTCGCTCTCCTGGCTGTCTCTCCTTGTTTATCCTCCTGGCTGTCTCTCCTCTCTCTCCTGGCTGTCATTCCTCATTTTCTCTCCTGGCTGTCTCTCTTCGCTCTCTTGATTTTCTCTCCTTGCTCTCTCCCCTGGCTGTCTCTCCTCTCTCTCTTTCCTGGCTGTCTCTCCTTGCTCTCTCTCCCGGCTCATCTTGCTGTATTTTGTAACAGGCTGTGTAAACTAATATTCTTCGATGTAATACATAGAAATACAGAAAGGTGTCAGGGAGCTTGGCTCAGCAGACTCAGGCTAATAGGTAATCATGTGTGCACAGCGAAATAAATATACCAAAATGGAATAAAGGGGCCGCCATTCACACCCTTCCTGATCTACCAGCATCAGCTTTGAGAGCTACTGGTAGATCACGATCTACCTAATGGGCACCCCTGCAATATGGTAATCACCATGCCAGTGACAAGTCTCCCATGTCCCATTGTTACCGTTTGGATAACTATTTCTAAGAGTCCCTTTGCCGAAACTAGGTAAAGTGTTAAAGTAGGACTATTTACATTCAAGAACTACAAAGAGAACATGTATACGTATGTATTACTCTAGTTAATTTTTTAAATGAACCCTACAGTGAGACTACCCCTGCACTGCAAGGGTTCACTGCTAGTTTTGGTCTAGGTCTGAAAATAACAAATATATACTCACCCGTTCCTCCGAGCCAGCCGGCTGTGACAGTGCTCCCTCCCCTGCCTGTCTCCTCCTCTGTAATGGTATGTCCCTAGGCGTTCTCACATCCTATACATTGTGCATAAAACGTGATGATTTACAGGACCTCAGATCGCTTCAACGGAGAGACACTCCAGGGCCCAGTATAAGAGCAAGCTGGCTCGGAGGATTATGTGAATATAACGTTCTTATTTTCAGCCTAAGACCACAAAATGAGCAGTTAACCTTTGCAGTGCGGGGGTAGCCCCACTGCAAGGGTTACTTATAAAATTACCCAGAGTTCTTCTTTATGCATACATACTATTCATCCACAAAAGTATAAGAATAATTAGAAACATCAAATCAAAACACAGACAAAACAATAAAATCAACTACATCCAAATGCTTATTTTTATTTAGATTTATTACACTTGATGTTTTCAAAAGTTACCAGTTAAATGTTGTATTTTAGTTAGCTGCTAGAAACTAAAGGACAAAGTAGTATAAAATCATAAGAACAGAATTTGGCAATATATATGACAAGTGACTGAAATATGGAATATGTACTAACCACTACAGACTTTACTAAGAAGTATGGTGATTCGAACTCAGTAATAACAAATAACCGTAGACAGATGCATTTGCCATCTCATTAAACTTGAGAATCTTTGATAATCTGTCTTTTCACTTTAAAAACAGGGCAAATAGATAGTAGTAGTGACTAATCCAAACCGTGAGCCATGAAACCTAAGGATAGTGAAAATATTTTGTAATATTATATAACAAACTTGGCCAGTTTATTGTATACTCTTCTTAAAAGTGGTTAAACATATATATATA